AAAAAAAAATGTAGGGCTGGCTGGTTGCTCAGTTGGTTAGAGTGTGACACTGATAACACTAAGGTCCAGGGTTAGATCTCTGTACTGGCCAGCTGCCAAAAAAAAAGCTTTCCAGCCCGGTGCCACTGAAATCCCCTTGGATGGTGATATAACCACATTATGGGAAACAATGGTAAAATGGTTCAGAGTTAACATTCTGGAGTCACACATACCTGTATTAAACCCTGGCTTTTTAAAATAATTTTTTGATTGTGGAAAATTTTAAACATATTCAAAAATAAAGATAAACCACATGGATCCATCACCTAGCTGCAACAACTACCAATTCATGGCAGTCTCTTTTCTTCAATATTCCAACTCATTCCTCACCACTCCACTGGATATTCTGAAGCTAATCCCAGACGTTTTATCAGTTTAACCTATATATATGTCAGCATATATCTCTAAAAACATAAAGAGTTAAAAAAAAAAATTAACAGGGCTGTTTAAAAACATAACCATGGCTGGCTGGTTAGCTCACTCAAGAGTGTGAAATGCTGACAACACCAAGGTCAATGGTTTGGATCCCTAACCACCCAGCCACCAAAACCCGCCCCCAAACATANCCGTTGCCGGTCCTGGTCCAGTATGGGCGCGACACTGAGGGTTGTGATCCGTTGCCGGTCACGAAAAAAAAAGACAAAAAAAAAAAAAAAATGTTCATTCCAAAAGAGTTTGTCAGGCATTAAAATGTGGATATCAGGGGTATAAGCAAAGCTTATAAAATGCTTCATTTCACTATGTGCATCAATGGAGCTGGTACAGCACAGTAAAGGTTTCAGCTTCATTCTCATACCACAAAATTTCTGTCACATCTGAATTCTACCAGTACTATTATTTGTGGAATTTTTTTTAAGCCCATTAATTTTTACTTAAATTTATATTAAACATATGATTTATGTCACTTTCAAAAATGCAGGGTGTTTTTTTTTTGCCACAAATAGAAGCTAACATTAAAATGAATACATAACTATTAAAATTAAAAATGTAGGGCCGGCCGGGTGGCGTACTCGGTAGAGTGCGGCGCTTGGGAGCGCGGCAGTGCTCCCGCCGAGGGTTCGGATCCCAT